ACATATATAATTATGAGCATGGAGAGTTATATGCTAGATTNTTATTATTACCCAATAATCCTAATTTATATCTAATAATCTAAAGACTAACCTAATATATCAAAAGCCCTTTTCCTCTTCAGAATTCAGATGAACTTCAGCCGACACTCGACACAGCCTTAAGCCACCAGCACCACACCAAATCGGAGACAAAGAGATCCTGGGTCTTCGGTGATAATATTTGCTATAAATAAAGTTTCAGATCAATAATTTTTTTGAGCAAACTAAGGTAAGAAATCTGAAATTATATGGGTTTCACATTTCTCTCAACTATTGGATGATTGTGAAATAAATTCATTCACTTTGATGGAAATTGTTTATCTACTATGTACATGATTCTATTCTATTTGTGTGGACATACTCTTATTTTGTGATTGAATTAGGCATGATATATAAAATATGTCAAAAGCTAAAAAGTGTTCATGTGCAATTTGATATGTGGATGAGTTATTTAATAAGTTAAAAGAAACAAACAATGACTCCAGTGGCAATTATACTTACATCAATTTAATTTTTTTGTTTTATTGTATGCTTAGATATTTTGTTAAACTGTTTTTTTAAGTGTTTTGAATTAATATGGGATGATATATATTCAGTTAGCCTATTAAAGTCTTGGATTTTGATATAGTAGGCGTAAAGTTTACCATGTAAGATGTTGCCTTATTGATGTCTCAGTAATTGTATTATGGAACTATATGCTTTCAATTAAATATTTAGTTTATAGGTATTTTGGGCCTTATATTTAGTTTATTAGACTTGTATTGTAACGTTATCGTAACGTCTTAACCTAAAAATAGTGAACAAAAAACTATTATTATGATTTTACTTGGATTTAGCTGGTATTTAAATTTATAGTAGATATATTTTGTTGTTTTAAATTTATTGCTAGTAAGATGTAAATATATATTGAATTTAATGAATTAATGACATAAAAGTAGACAGACAAAAATATATACGACTAAATCGGCAGTTTAAAACCGGACCAAACCATTAGGTTCAGGTTTGAGTTTTTTTCAAACGGTTCAGAATGGTTTGGTTTAGGTTTGAGTTTTTCTCTAATCGGTTTAAAAAGTTTGGTTTGAAAATTTGTCAAAAATCGATAAAATCGGACCGCTTACATCCCTTGCTTCTACAATTTAAACAATATTTAAGATGCTTTAAACAAACAATTAACAAATCTGATGTAGGCTACATGCTTGTAGTAAATCGTGTGCATACATATTAGGATGAGAATATCATGCTTGTGGGAGATTGTCCTCCCATGTTGAAAGATAATGTACGTGTAAAATAGAATAATACTACTTGTATATAAGTAGTTATATAATGATTTACATACAAATGAAGTGTCAAAAAGAGAGTGGGAAAAATTATTTTTATTTGGTTGAAGGAATTCTAATACAACCATATCTCATCACATCATATATATGTAAATCATTATGTAAGTGTAACACAACTATACAAAATATTATACTGGATTTGCTAAGTTCGATAAAAGCAAAATGTTTGTGGGAGATGCTATATATTGGAGCGAATTTAAAAGGTGTGGATAGAATTCACTTGAAAAAGTTAAAAGGAAATAATTGCCACTGTTCGTAGATTTAGACTGTGAATTAGCTATTCAACTCGATGAGATATAAGAAGAGTATAAAGAGGATGACAAATTAATTACAAAGGACCAATATAAGAAGTGGCAATTAATAAAGATGAAATTAACATACATTCTTTGACCTTCATGTGTGGGAAAAGGAGTGGCCCACACATTGGTCAACTTCGACCAGGGTTTTCCTTCCTTGGCTGAAACTCTATATGAGAAGGACTTTGAACTCATTTTTTACCTAATTTTGCCTCCTATAATACAGAATGATGGCAAAACATTAGGAAATCTCTCTCTACACTCAAATCCATTCATATAATAAAATTTATCAAGAAATGATTGGCAAATTTAATATAAGTTGGAGAGGAAAACAAATCTAGCATGTGGATTGAATCAAGGAACATCAAAAAGGTGAAGAATCAAGGTTTGGAATTGAAAATCTAAAAACAAGAAATTGTTTCCATATATTTCTTGTATTCGTATAACTTTTGGGAGATGATTTTTCATTCTTCTTATTGTTTTATCATTAAAAACATGGTAGGCATATTTTCTTTTTGTTGGAATGAAAATGAACCTTATTATTATTTATTTTTAATTCAAAGACCAAGTGGTTTAGTAAATTTGCTTTCCTGATTGATCTTGTAAGCTTTGTAAAATTATTTAATTGATTGATAATCAATTACGTAATTAGTTTCTTTTTGTAGTATTGGGAGACTCGCAATATATTTAAAACACTCAATTTTCAATTTTAACACACGGGCAATATATATTAGGAATATCATGTACGGCGTGTGCAATCATATAAATAATTGTGTAATTGTATAAATTTGTTACTTTGCATATGAATTCGAACTAGGAATATGCATGCTCAATTCGTGTTTAGAATGTGTTTGACTTATATTGGAAGACATAGTTAAATAAAATTTGATTATTAATTGTCACATTTACACAAATGACACTAAATTACATAGGCCGAGAATTGAAAATAGAATATTAATAGGTGAATACGAAATTCCAAGACATTCATCCCATATTTAGTTAGAAATAATATTAGATAACAAGTAGGATAATTTAAATATAAACTAAGCCCCTTTTATGTGGGATTAAAAATCAGATTTTTAGTAAATTTTGAAAAAGTTGATGAAATGTGTAGTTGAAAAATTGTCGATTCCATAAAATGTGTGGTTAGGGCTAGTTTTGACTTTGACATACCAAACATTGGCTAAATCATCTTTGTTTTTAGTTACATTTAAATTTGATAACGGATTGATAGATTTCAATTTAAAGCTTATTATTCGTGGGATGATACTCTCAATTCATCATATTATTACTTATGAACGATCCTAAACACTTGCGAAAATTGTTCGTACACCTTGATTATTTAAAATTCATGCAAAAAGGCAGAGGATTCAAAGAGATTGGTATATTTGTCTAAAATTTTAAAAGTTGGACATTTTCAAACTCAAAGGTAATGAATAAATTACATTTTGTTACTACTAGTATTCTAAAATACACGCATATGTTTCATATATGCATGCATATGCTCTATGCATTTTCGAAACGTCTCACATATGGGTGATGCGCATGATAATGCAGTCAATTCATTTTACGGACCGCACATGCGACCTTAAATGCCAAAATGCGCACGCAATTGTCTTAAAAATTTTGTCCAAATTAGACTAGTAAAGTTCAATCCATTTTTGTAACTTAAAAAAGGAAATTGGACCCAACAAATATCAAATTAGCCCAAATTACCCAAGCTCATGGATTATATATAGCAATCTATAGGATTTTAATGTTTAGAAAAAAAAAAATCAAAACAAATTTTTCATAGAGTTGTAAACTATCTACGTAAGCCCGACCCTCCTTCTTCTTCAGGCTTCCTTTAGTTTCACTGCTGAGATCTACATTGAGTTGCATAAATGAAGTTATATATTTCACGTTTTGTATTGCTTATCTAATCAGAAATTTGAAAGTCATTTGTTGAGTAGTACCGTGTAAGGTATATTTATTGAAAGAGCCTATATAGAAATGTTTATTAAATGCATATAAAAAAAATGTTACGAAGACCGAACCCGAACCGACGATTCGGGTTTGAGTTTTATTCTGGTAATTATAAGGACCCAAATGATTTCATTTACGAAATACTCGAAGCATAATGAATGATTCCAGTTATTTAAATACCAAGATAAACCTACAGAATGCCAGCCCTGGTTGGATAGAAAACTACAATTTTTGAAGTTGTTAGTAAACCTAATGATGTGAGATGCTAGTAATGTACAATATTGGATTGTTGATGATTGTGATGATGAGGAGGAGGTTAACAATGATATCTTACCATTTATAAGAGGTAATAGAAATTCTCAAATTGACATGAAATATGACTTGTGTGAAGAAGAAGAAGAATTAGAATTCGACAAAGAGCAAAACAAGATTTAGGGGTATTTTTAAGTCGATATTCGTGTCTAATTTAATTGTACGAATTAATTATCAAGTAATTGTAGTATTTATGATTTTGAGCAACTTTTTTTTTTGTTTTTTTTTTTGAAGAATATGTATAAAGTTCAAATGATATATTATTTTATTTATTTATTAGTTTGCCATATTTGAAATAATATTAAAAACTGGAAAACGCATAATTACAAACTGGAAAATTTCTACAGAATGGATTTTTAACGAACTTATTTGAAAAATCATTGACTTTCTCTGTGGGGCGGCAGGGGTTGGTGAAGTGATTAATGGGATGTATTCAATCATGCATACAAACATGGGTCCATTTCTTTAAAACAAATAATGCCATTTCCAGATTTCCACAAATTAAACCATTATTGCATCAATTAATGAGAAAATTAAGGTTCAACTCCTTAATATTTCACATTATGTGATTTATGAGTTCTTAACCTTTAAAAGTAATGTTTGAGGTCCTTTAAATTTGTGAATTTAGGTCCCCATGTAATTAAAACTGCCAATGGACATGTTAAGATTGCACTCAACTTTTAGATGGAGAGAAAAAGGGAAATTGGTAGACTATATCTTCCAAGTGATGTGAAAGTCATATGTGATTTTAATTGTCACAATGACAATTTCGATCACGTGAGAACCGAAATATACATATTTAAATGGGCTGAAGATCAAGAATGTCACTTTTAAAGGTTGAGAACCTATAACAAGATAACGTAAAATGTTGAAAAATCCAACCCAGATTTTCCATTAGTTAATTCCCTGTAACTAACTGCAAGAGTGCAAGAACATACTGAAAATTTCATTACATATATATAAACCAGCAACCTCTTAACTAAACAAGAAAAACAGCAACCTCACAAGGTTTTGTTACAGTAAGACCAGCTATCAACAATAATTCGTTCATTCAAGAGCATGCTTCTTGAAAGGAAAATGGAGCATATGCAATCTCTTGATCCGAGGCATATGTGAATACGAATGTTTTTCCACCATAGATAGGGCTCCCGTCATTAATAAGACACAACTTCGGGCCGATCTTGGAAACCAACTTAGACGTGGGCTTAATTGTTTCGACAGAATCAAATCCAGGGCAAAGTAGCATCACTTGCAAGAAGCTACAAATGCATTTATTGGTGACTGTCACTTTCCATTCCGGTTTATTCCCTATTTTCGCTCTGGTTCTAACTTGATTAACCGTAAGGTCGCTAAGGCTCCCAGGAAAGCACTGAAGACTGCCTGAAACATGAAATCAAAATTGTATAAATTAATATTAGATAAGTGAAAGAAAGAAAGAAATGTTATACCTCTGGTCATAAAGCACATAAACAAAATAATGCAAAGGAACTTTTTGAATAATTCCATGGATGGAAGTGATATATTTGTATCAAAATGTTAAGAGGATAAACATATATATTGTGAAGAGTACAAGAATTTTCCTATTTATAGGGGAATTTTACATGTTAATTTATGGTACTGAAAAGTCAAGATTGTAAAAATAAAGATAAATAGGGTGCATAGCTGTGAATTTAAATTGAGTTTTCACAATATGCACTGATTGCTTGAAAAATTAATTAATTTAATACAAAATATGAAGTCGTCGACAATAAATAAATTCTCATAAATTTTGAAATGATAATAATGTCATATTTGGACAATGTACTTATTGAGCATTAAAAATATTGACACCTGGCAATGCCTAATTCGCACTGAAATTGAGATTTGTCATATTCAAAGTACAGATTTAGACATGGCAACTAGACTTGATTGATCGAAGTGTGATGACCCCGAAAATCTACATAAACTTTTTTATTTGAAATTTTTGATTCTGTCCAAGAGGGTATGATGACCAAACTAAGAGGGCAACTACATTCCATGCAGTACACTATTTAGACTTTGATTAATTTGTGTCAATGTAACTCGTTTTATATTCTAATAGTGTCACAGCCCTCCATTAAATTCATTAAGACAAAAATCAGAATTATAGTCTACTTATTCAATTAACACTATCTGAGTATCAGCCAAAGGTTGGAATAGGCTCTTCGACAAATACGGAGAGTAGCTAATGCACAGGAATTAGAAGAGAAAATCATGAACGAATTGGGAAACAGAAGAAATAAGGAGGATTTATGAAATCATTTTTTTGATTCTGCACATTCTTTCTGGGTGACTTTGTCTAACTTTTGGAGTCAAATTATGTCGTTTAAAGATCCATTTTAACGTTTTTCTGTTTTTAGTTAATTTAAGGGTATTTTTATCTCTTTTCAAGTGTTTTTTTTTTTAGTTTTAATTGGATTTGTCTACAAAATTTGAGTTTCAATGTGATTAGAATTTTTTTTGAGTCTATAAATACGTGTTAAGGTTGTAAGAGAAAACATATTCTTTTTTTTTTTTTTTTGCTTAATAATGTATTTCAATTTTTCCGTTATTTGATGAATTTCAAATATTTATCACGCTCATTAGAGTGAAATTTGAGCGACACCTGTTCGTGTGTTATGAACACGAATCCTTTATTGTTATTTACATTTTGTCCTATTTCAAGTGGTATCAAAACATTGGCAAAGTCAGAGAAGGTTTTTGAGGCAACGTTTGAGGCGATTGAGACTAATCTCATAGAAGTAGGTAATCATCTGCAAAAATTAAGCAATCAACTCAAGGACATACTACTTGCCTTGATTCTTGGAGGTGGTAATCCCAATTAACAACCATCCATGATCCATCGACCTGTTCAGGTTGTTTCCCCTATCAATTTGGCTCCAATTCCAACTCCAATTCGTTACCATGGTAATCATAATGAGTATGATGGTCACATTGTCAAAGCGGAGATTTTTGTCTTCAATAGGAATTTAGATGATGAGGATCAGGAATATTCTGAAGATGAGTAAGAAGAAGAAGAATACACTGATGAAGTTTGTGAAGAAGAACAAGGAAGTTTTGTATGCATTGTGCAGAAAAATGTTATGCTTGCCCAAGCAAAAAGAGTTGACTCAGCATGGGAAGATTTTTCATGCCAAGTGTTAAGTCAGTGATGTTGTTTGCAGTAGATTATAAAGAGTGGTAGTTGTGAGAATCTAATCGCCAGGAAACTAGTGGATCATATGAAGTTGCCAGAATCACATCCAGTTTCTTATTAGATTAGTTGGATTAAGAAGGGTGCGTACATTCACGTGACTGACATTTTACAAATCAGAAGTTATTTGTGATGTTATTGAGATAAATGCATGTCATATTCTATTGGGCAGATTGTGGCAATTTAATGTGGAAGGATAAAAAGATTACAGTTACACCAACATGGAGGGTACAAAAAGCTTTTAAAGTCTGAAGGAAAGCTTTCATGGCTATTACAAATTTAGCTAATGAGTTTTCCTCCGATCAGCCTTTGTATTTTTTTTTTGAAGTGGAAGGAAATGACTTGGGATAGTTAGAAAAGAAAATCATAAGCTAATTTGAAAATAGAAGAAATAAGGTGGATCTACAAAAACGCAAGTAACTTTCGGCTTGGTTGTCAGATTTTCCTCAAGGAGTATAATTCGGAAGCGTTTTTCGATTCTGCATATTTTTTTCGGGTGACCTTGTCGAACTTTGGGGTTATTTTCCATCGTTTAGAGGTTTGTTTCAACATTATTCTATTTTTAGTTAATTTAAGAGTATTTTCATCTTTTTGCAGTTTTTTTTTAGTTATAATTGGATTTATCTACACGATTTGAGTTTCAATGTGATTAGAATTTGTTTTGAGTCTATAAATACGTTTTGAGTTTGTGAGAAAAACACATTTCTTTTTCTTGATTAATAAGATATTTCAATTTTTCCATTATTTGATTGATTTCTAATATTTATCACATTCGTTCGAAAGAAATTCGAGCAAAAAACATATTCGTGTGTTACGAACAAGAACCCTTTATTATTATTATTATTATTATTATTATTATTATTATTATTATTCACATTTTCGTCCTGTGTCAGTATCGATCATAGAATATGTACAAGATTTTCATTGTAGCGTTATTTGAGATATTTTATTGAATTATGTAAATTCATACATGGTCTGAGGCTATCAAAAGTATGAAATTCGATTGAGTTGTTCTTTTTTTTGGTTCTCATCTTATGTTAGTTTAATTTGGTTTTGCTCAATAACTAGAAAATTGTAAGTTTGAGGATGTTTGATAAGTGTAAATATTACATTTATTCGAGTCGTTAATCTTTTGATTTTATTGGATACCTAGATCAAATCATTGCGGATTTTGTTGTGTTTTTCGATATTGTAGGATGGATTACGGTCATGGGATAAAAAAATATATTTTGTGAGTGGAATGAAAGATTAATTCCCCCAAAAATCAAGAAGAAATGTCGCTAGAAGAGCAGATTGAATGTAGTTAGAACAAACATAAAGCTGAGAACAGAATCCACCTAAGAAGGCAATGCCGGAGCACCAGGTGTGGGAAAAATTGGTGTATATTCCTTTTAACCAAAAATACGTTCATGGAAATTGATAAAATCGGGATTTACTGGTATAAAATATTGAATAGAGTTTCAACTTACCAAAAGCAAGATACGTGTATGAAAAGACACAAATATTTCGACTAATGAAATGTAAAGATTAGAAGGAGATGAAATGAAATGAGGTATACGATTGTAAATCTCGTTAAGACGGATTTCGCTAAGTGCACTGTGTTAACATGATCAAATGGAAGTTTGTGTCCCAAAAAAACATTTCTTCTTCCAAAATTGATATAAAACAATATTACTTTTGTCGGACAAATCAAAATGTTGATAGTATTCTTCACGAAAGAAATAGACACAAACTAAAATTGCTCATATGAAATTTTAGTTCTGAAAATAATTCGGACATAATTTAATTTCTATAAAATTAAAAAGAGCCGAATATCTTGAAGAGATGAGACAATTTAGAAATTAATTTTTTTTTTTTTTTTTGAATTACTTTCTAATTAGAGAATTAGGGGTCTCTATTTATAGATTTTCATATATGTTTTCAAATTTTTTCTTCTTTTGACATAAATTATTGTGGATCATTAGATCATATATTTTCATATTTAACAGTCCAAATTGCAATCTATCAAAAGGTCTTAACTTTTCATTATGTATCTTTTTTAATAGTTACACATATTCCGAAACAACACAACTTTTTTATATGCACCATTTGCATTTGAAGAGTCACGATAATTCATCGCACCAATTGAAGACTTTTCCAATTTACATTGATAAAAGTTATCCCATAAATTTCAATAATCACACACATGAATGAAAAAAGTCAACTTAGAACAAGGAAGACGAAGAATAGTACTACTGAAATATAATGCATCAAGATGAGTAGCTTTCACTTTGAACATTCTTTAGTAAGAATCTATTGGACTCACTAAGCTAATCAGTGAATGCAATATTGTGAGCTATCAGCTGTTATTGTAAGTTTAGACAATAGATCAAATACATTATGAAATTACGAGGTTTGACCCAAATTACACGTAGAGGGGGGTGAATAGATGATTATGTAGAATTAAAAATTAAAAATTAAATAACAACAAGTCACTCTTAATCATTTCTAGATGATTAATCAAACAGTCCAATTTTTCATATGTTGAAATACCGTAATTATATGAAAACAGTAACTACACAAAGAATGATCACAAAAAAATCTTAATTGGGTAAAAACTTCAAGTACTTTGTAGTCAACAATTCACTATAAACAAATTATAAACTTACAGCCATCCAGACACGACTACCACTAGTACTTTCTGACCTCCTAATTGCAATTCCCACAGCCATCCTAGATTGCGTGCTCTTGCACCAACTCATGGCTTTAGAATTTATCTATCTCCTGCGGATCAACGAGAAATTCTGCGTTCTCCAACAACTGGAACTCCGGTCACCTTCTCTTAATTTTTAGAACTCTAACAGATGTGTAGGAAGTAGCAGTTTGGTATTTAGATTAAGTGGGTTTGATGTTTTCAATGTCAAGACCAAATCAAAACAACGAAGGTTGAAAGCTATGGATGATTTTGATGGAGAGGATATGAAGTAATCAATGTTTTTTCAACGTTCAACCTTAAGAAAAATCGTTCAGAGGCGTTCTAGTATATATACTATAGGTTTAGGAATGAATGGGCCGGATAAAAAACCTTAAAAACGCGAATTAAAATTTTCCGGATAACCAAGTCGGTCGAGCGAAATCTAGGGGACAACCAACCGATAGTGTGTTGCTCGACCGAAGGCCAAGCGACAAGCTACCGATAATGTTTCCGTTTTTGCCGCTCGAGCCAAGTCATAGTGACAGTCTAGCGAAATTATGGCACCGTTTTTTC